ACACACACACCACACACACACACCACACACACACACACTCACACACACACACACACACACATACAACAATTCGCCTCACAGTCCAGTGAACTCCCCTCTAAACATTTTATTTTTTCCCCTTTTTATTGTCCTCTTTTGCATCTTTCTTTTAGTTAACACAGTTCCACTCTTTGTGAAGGGCAATGCCACAGCAACACCTGCGCTGGGATAATACCAGTGGCACACTGGGATATTTCCTGTTATTCTGGGATAATTCCTGTCATTCTCGAATAATTCCTGTCATTTTGGGATATTTCCTGTCATTTTGGGATAATTCCTGTCATTCTGGGATAATTCCTGTCATTCTGGGATAATTCCTGTCATTGTGGAATAATTCCTGTCATTCTGGGATAATTCCTGTCATTCTCGAATAATTCCTGTCATTTTGGGATATTTCCTGTCATTTTGGGATAATACCTGTGACTCTGGGATAATACCTGTGACTCTGGGATAATTCCTGTCATTCTGGGATAATTCCTGTCATTCTGGGATAATACCTGTGACACTGGGATGTAATGTATGTTCCAGTACATTATTTATAAATTTATTTTATTCATTGTATTCATAATTATTTCAATCTTATTTGTTTCCTTAGTTCAGTAGGATTAAATATTGAATAGTTTTCAAATTATTCAATTATTTATATTGAATAATTTTCTTCCCAATTATTAAGGAAAATAAAGTCTTGTAGAAAATGTTCTTAGAAATATAGTTTTGGCAGATACAAAGCCATGTATTTTTTTTTTTACTAACGTATATACGAAAAAAATGTTAATTGAAGATTAGAGAAGACTTTGTGAAGTCTGTACTCCCCTAGTTGTGCTTGCGGGGGTTAAGCTCTGGCTCTTTGGTCCCGCCTCTAAACTGTCAATCAACTGGTGTACAGGTTCCTGAGCTTATTGGGCTCTATCATATCTACACATGAAACTGTGTATGGAGTCAGCCTCCACCACATTACTTCCTAATGCATTCCATCTGTCAACCACTGTGTGTGTGTGTGTGTGTGGCTGTGTGTGTGTGTGTGTGTGTGTGTGTGTGTGTGTGTACTCACCTAGTTGTACTCACCTAGTTGTGTCTGCAGGATCGAGCATTGACTCTTGGATCCCGCCTTTCGAGCATCGGTTGTTTACAGCAATGACTCCTGTCCCATTTCCCTATCATACCTGGTTTTAAAATTATGAATAGTATTTGCTTCCACAACCTGTTCCTGAAGTGCATTCCATTTTCCCACTACTCTCACGCTAAAAGAAAACTTCCTAACATCTCTGTGACTCATCTGAGTTTCAAGCTTCCATCCATGTCCCCTCGTTCTGTTACTATTCCGTGTGAACATTTCGTCTATGTCCACTCTGTCAATCCCTCTGAGTATCTTATACGTTCCTATCATGTCCCCCCTCTCTCTTCTTTCTAGTGTCGTAAGGCACAGTTCCCTCAGGCGCTCCTCATACCCCATCCCTCGTAGCTCTGGGACGAGTCTCGTTGCAAACCTCTGAACCTTTTCCAGTTTCATTATATGCTTCTTCAGATGGGGACTCCATGATGAGGCGGCATACTCTAAGACTGGCCTCACGTAGGCAGTGTAAAGCGCCCTAAATGCCTTGTGTGTGTGTGTGTGTGTGTGTGTGTGTGTGTGTGTGTACTCACCTATATGTACTCACCTATATGTGCTTGCAGGATCGAGCATTGACTCTTGGATCCCGCCTTTCTAGCTATCGGTTGTTTACAGCAATGACTCCTGTCCCATTTCCCTATCATACCTAGTTTTAAAAGTATGAATAGTATTTGCTTCCACAACCTGTTCCCCAAGTGCATTCCATTTTTCTACTACTCTCACGCTAAAAGAAAACTTCCTAACATCTCTGTGACTCATCTGAGTTTCCAGTTTCCACCCATGTCCCCTCGTTCTGTTATTATTACGTGTGAACATTTCATCTATTTCCACTTTATCAATTCCCCTGAGTATTTTATATGTCCCTATCATATCTCCTCTCTCCCTTCTTTTCTCTAGTGTCGTTAGGTTCAGTTCCTTCAGCCGCTCTTCATATCCCATCCCTCGTAACTCTGGGACAAGCCTCGTCGCAAACCTCTGAACCTTCTCCAGTTTCTTTATGTGTTTCTTCAGGTGGGGGCTCCATGATGGCGCGGCATACTCTAAGACGGGTCTCACGTAGGCAGTGTAAAGTGCCCTAAAAGCTTCCTCATTTAGGTTTCTGAATGAAGTTCTAATTTTCGCCAGTGTAGAGTACGCTGCTGTCGTTATCCTATTTATATGTGCCTCAGGAGTTAGATTAGGTGTCACATCCACTCCCAGGTCTCTTTCTCGAATCGTTACAGGTAGGCTGTTCCCCTTCATTGTGTACTGTCCCTTTGGTCTCCTGTCACCTGATCCCATTTCCATAACTTTACATTTACTGGTGTTAAACTCCAGTAGCCATTTCCCTGACCATCTCTGCAGCTTGTTTAAGTCCTCTTGGAGGATCCTACAATCCTCGTCTGTCACAACTCTTCTCATTAATTTTGCGTCATCTGCAAACATTGACATGTATGATTCCACTCCTGTAAACATATCATTTACGTAAATTAGAAAGAGGATTGGTCCCAGCACCGATCCTTGAGGTACTCCACTTGTTACTGTTCGCCAGTCCGACTTTTCGCCCCTTACCATTACCCTCTGGCTCCTTCCTGTTAGGTAGTTCTTCACCCATACTAGGGCCTTTCCGCTTACTCCTGCCTGCCTCTCAAGTTTGTATAGCAGTCTCATGTGCGGTACCGTATCAAAGGCCTTTTGGCAGTCAAGAAATATGCAGTCTGCCCAGCCTTCTCTGTCCTGCCTTATCCTTGTTACTTTATCATAGAATTCTAAAAGGTTTGTTAGGCATGATCAACAAGTCTTAGCCTAATTATTCTTTCAAGTATTTTGCAGGGGATGCTTGTCAGTGATACGGGTCTGTAGTTAAGTGCCTCCTCCCTATCACCTTTTTTGAAAATCGGTACGACATTTGCCTCCTTCCAGCAACTGGGCAATTCTCCCGACATAAGTGACTCATTAAAGATCATTGCCAGAGGCACGCTGAGAGCCTGCGCTGCCTCTTTAAGTATCCACGGTGATACTTTGTCTGGTCCAACAGCTTTATTTGCATCCAGTGTTGTCAACTGTTTCATCCTGACGCTTGTTGATGGGGGCAATCACCTAGTTGTGCTACGGGAGGTTGAGCTTCGGCTCTTTGGTATGTGTGTGTGTGTGTGTGTATTTACTATTTGTTTAGGACTTAGGACTTGGAACCGGGTCCTTAGGACTACGACCCCATAGCGCTGCCCACTCAGCCGCGAGGCCCTGTGTACTCACCTAGTTGTGCTTGCGGGGGGGGGCTGAGCTTCAGCTCTTTGGTCCCACCTCTCAACCCTCAATCAACAGTTATGTGTGTGATGGTTATGAGCACTTCAACACCCCCCCCACACACACACACCTGCAACCCTGCTGCAACTGCACATTCCAACACTGCCACACCCGGCAGCTCCTCCCGGGGGCAGAAGCACACGAGAGGCGTCACTCGGTGAACTCATCGACATCCGCCGGCATCTTCCCGCTGAATATTCCCTCGCTTAAAGGATAATGGAAGAGGAAGACTTAACTTGAGGTGAAGAAGTTACCCGCCATTATCATATAAAATGGAGCCAAAAAATTCTTTCCGAGTCGCACACTGGCGGAGACTTTCCCAGGGTCGCTAAATTTTATCTTTCTGGTGGGGGGTGGTTGTTACAGTGGTGGGTGGTGTAGCCGTGCCCTGGTGTAGCCGTGCCCTGGTGTAGCCGTGCCCTGGTGTAGCCGTGCCCTGGTGTAGCCGTGCCCTGGTGTAGCCGTACCCTGGTGTAGCCGTGCCCTAGTGTAGCCGTGCCCTGGTGTAGCCGTGCCCTAGTGTAGCCGTGCCCTAGTGTAGCCGTGCCCTGGTGTAGCCGTGCCCTGGTGTAGCCGTGCCCTGGTGTAGCCGTGCCCTGGTTTAGCCGTACCCTGGTGTAGCCGTACCCTGGTGTAGCCGTACCCTGGTGTAGCCGTACCCTGGTGTAGCCGTGCCCTGGTGTAGCCGTGCCCTGGTGTAGCCGTGCCCTGGTGTAGCCGTGCCCTGGTGTAGCCGTGCCCTGGTGTAGCCGTGCCCTGGTGTAGCCGTGCCCTGGTGTAGCCGTGCCCTGGTGTAGCCGTGCCCTGGTGTAGCCGTGCCCTGGTGTTATGGACATCGAGCGAATTATGTGGAACAGGAGAACCACTAACGAGAATTCTCCTCCCTTTCCACACTAATATTGTCGACAACTGTCAACTCCCCGGGCAGGATATCATTTCCATTGACTGCTGACTGGCAAGGGGTCAGGCGTCAGTGGTAATGACTCGTGATGTTCTTGTCTGCTCTCGAATATACTGTTAAAGCCTTTTCTCCTTGTTTGTTTTGTAAGATATTCGTGCGAGGTGAGGCGAATATCCTCACTGCGGTTCCTCGCTGCCAGCATCTTTCATCTCTGTGGCGCATCTGTGTCTAAACATTTGTACCTGGGGCTCTTCTCTGCAGAATTCATCTCTGTGGTTGTTCTCTATCTACAGAATCCACCACTGTGGTTGGTCTCTATGGAATACTTCTCTGTGGCATATCTGTATATGCTGCATCCATCTCTGTGGCTCATCTGCGGATGTACCATATCATCTCTATGAGTCGTCTGGGTCTATATCCAAGTCTTTTCAATGAGTTTGTACTCAATCTACAATGTTTCTCACTTCTATCCTTCGTCTTCAATCACGCTTCTATTGTCTATTGCGTCGTTAGGTCCATTTTACCTGGACCCTGTCTTCCCCACCCCTGCCTGTCAGCGGGGGACAGGCAGACAGAGTGTATTCATACACGTTATAGGCTTATCTCGAGGTTTCCACCCCGCCCCCTCCCTCCCAAGGTCGAATTACTGACCCCGCCCAGAAAACAACCCATAAACAAGCTGATTATATCTCCTGACTACCGACTTACTGCTAGGTGAACAGGGGCGTTACAGGTCATGCGCCCAATCATTTCTGTCCCCCGGCTCCCGGGATTCGAACCCGACCATACTAGCGGGACCTTAGGATGTGTGCCTCTGCAGTAAGGTCTGGTGTTATATGTATTGCACTACGCCGGTTCTAGTAAGTGGTTCCAATAGGTGGTTCCTCGTCACCTTGCCACCTTCTCTGTATCTTACAGTTACTTATGGTACCCCATGTAACTAGCTACTTCTTACAACGTAGCTTCAGCATACCTATGGTAGTCCTAGAGACTCTCCAGTCATCCTCTCTCCTCTCTCCTCTCAGTTTGGTGTCTGCGAACACTGACATGTAGAAATTCTACGTCCATGATTAAATAGAGATAAATAAATTGTGTGTGTGAGAGAAAGAGAGAGAGAGAGACATACAGACAGACCATTATATATGCTTCTATTGTACTTGTATTATTGTAAAATCGTTAATCTTCGATATCATTTGGTAAAAATTCTCACAACTAATCTCACGCTAACTGAAAACTTTCTAACATCTCTATGACACATCTGAGTTTCCAGCTTCCACATATGTCCCTTTGTTCTCCTGGTATTCCATGTGAATATTTCCTCTATTTCCACTCTGTCAATCCCAGGTGTGTGTGTGTGTGTGTGTGTGTGTGTGTGTGTGTGTGTGTGTGTGTGTGTGTGTGTGTGTGTGTGTGTGTGTGTGTGTGTGTGTGTGTGTGTGTGTGTGTGTGTGTGTGTGTGTGTGTGCATTCACCTAGTTTACCTAGTTGTGCTTGCGGGGGTTGAGCTCTGCTCTTTCGGCCCGCCTCTCAGTGGGTATATGTGTGTGTGTGTGTTTGTGTGTGTGTGTGTGTGTGTGTGTGTATGTGTGTGTGTGTGTGTGTGCAGGGTGCGTGAGGTGGTCACTCGGGCAGTAACGACACTATCTGCAGGTAAGGTCCCGTCGTGTCCAAGTATTTTAACTCTCCCCCAATGTGTACATTGTTGTCGCTCTCTCCCATTGGATTTGGTCAATCTGTCTCACCTAATGGGCACGCGATGCTGCCGACCGACACACGCACACACACACACACACACACACACACACACAACAGTAAAGGAGAAAAACACACAACAGTGGAGAAAAACAACAGTAAAGGAACAGGTTATGAGATTAAGGATAGGGGCGGAAGGATTCACTACAAATGACAAGGAAGTGTGTGAGGAATTGAATAAGAAATTCCAGGAGGTCTTCACCTTAGAACAAGGAGAAATTCCAGAGGTAAGTGAGGGAATAGCTAACCAGGAACCACTGGAAGAGTTTGAGATTACCAGTGGGGAAGTAAGGAAGTGTTTACTAGAGTTGGACGTGACAAAGGCTATAGGCCCAGATGGAATCTCCCCTTGGGTTCTAAAGGAAGGAGCAAGAGAACTGAGCCTACCACTCTCCATAGTGTATAACAAATCACTGGCAACAGGGGAACTGCCAGATATTTGGAAAGCAGCTAACGTAGTCCCGATATACAAGAAAGGGGATAGACAGGAGGCACTGAACTACAGGCCAGTGTCCCTAACCTGCATACCATGCAAGCTGATGGAGAAGATTGTGCGAAAAAAACTAGTGGAGCATCTGGAGCGAAGGAACTTTGTAACACAGCATCAACATGGGTTCAGGGATGGCAGGTCCTGCCTCACAGGGTTACTTGAATTCTACGACCAGGCAACAAAAATAAGGCAAGAAAGAGAAGGGTGGGCAGACTGCATATTTTTGGATTGTCAGAAAGCCTTTGATACAGTGCCACACAAGAGGCTAGTGCGAAAGTTGGAGATGCAGGCTGGAGTGAGAGGGAAGGTACTCCGGTGGATAGAGGAATACCTAAGCAACAGGAGACAACGAGTCTGTGTGAGGGGTGAGGTCTCAGATTGGCGAGACGTCACAAGTGGAGTCCCGCAGGGGTCAGTCCTTGGACCTATACTGTTTCTGGTATATGTAAATGATCTCCCAGAGGGTATAGATTCGTTCCTCTCAATGTTTGCCGACGATGCAAAAATTATGAGGAGGATTGAAACAGAGGATGATAGTAGGAGGCTACAAGATGACCTGGATAGACTGAGTGAATGGTCCAACAAATGGCTGTTGAAGTTCAACCCGAGTAAATGCAAAGTAATGAAACTAGGAAGTGAAAACAGGAGGCCAGGCACAGGATACAGAATAGGAGATGAAGTACTTAATGAAACAGACAGAGAGAAAGATCTTGGAGTTGATATCACACCAAACCTGTCTCCTGAAGCCCACATAAAGAGAATAACGTCTGCGGCATATGCGAGGCTGGCTAACATCAGAACGGCGTTCAGGAACCTGTGTAAGGAATCATTCAGAATCTTGTACACCACATATGTAAGACCAATCCTGGAGTATGCGGCCCCAGCATGGAGCCCGTACCTTGTCAAGCACAAGACGAAGCTGGAAAAAGTCCAAAGGTATGCTACTAGACTAGTCCCAGAACTAAGAGGCATGAGTTATGAGGAAAGGCTGCGGGAAATGCACCTCACGACACTGGAAGACAGAAGAGTAAGGGGGGACATGATCACAACCTACAAAATCCTCAGGGGAATCGACCGGGTAAACAAGGATGAACTATTCAACACTGGTGGGACGCGAACAAGGGGACACAGGTGGAAGCTGAGTACCCAAATGAGCCACAGAGACGTTAGAAAGAACTTTTTCAGTGTCAGAGTAGTTAGTAAATGGAATGCATTAGGAAGTGATGTGGTGGAGGCTGACTCCATACACAGTTTCAAATGTAGATATGATAGAGCCCAATAGGCTCAGGAATCTGTACACCAGTTGATTGACGGTTGAGAGGCGGGACCAAAGAGCCAGAGCTCAACCCCCGCAAGCACAATTAGGTGAGTACAATTAGGTGAGTACACACACACACACACACACACACACACACACACACACACACACACACACATGTGTGTGTGTGTGTGTGTGCATGTATAAAAGAAATATATGTAGTAGACATAACAGAGGAAAATTAAATTGGTTAGACAGGCGGGTATCCAAGAGCTAATAGCTCGATTCCGCAGATTTAATAGTAAATACAAATAGTAAATACCCACAGTGGTCTGGACTTTGAATATCACATGTCCTGTGAAAGCATTCATAAAGGGAACAGCAAGTGAACTAAGAAGGAAATCAAGACATGATATCACCTCCTTAACTATTATGCTCAAAGATGAAGCAACATTATCAGGGGCCCCAAACAGATAAAGGATCCAAATAAGATCATTAACTCGTGGTTATATATATATATATATATATATATATATATATATATATATATATATATATATATATATATATATATATATATATATATATAATGAGTGAGGACTGAGTTCATTGAAATTAGTGAATCTCTACAGAAGCTGATGAGAATGACATAGCAAGCAAAGCTCAGGAGCATCGCAATATCATGAGCAAGACGTCTGTGGAATGACTAGGTAATCAGACCATAATTAAAGAGTGAAAACACACAGAGAACGAGAAGGAAATATGCAAAATGCTTAATTAAAACTTCCAACAAGTTTTCGAACAGGAACCTAACTTGTCCCAAGGTCTAAGATCCTCAGGAGAACAAACACCCATCTAATGAAAGACTCACAGATGAGAAAGTTACCCCAGAAAAAGTAAGAAAACAATTCGAGGGGAAAAATTATGAGAGCCACAGGCCCTGTAAATATTTAAATGAGGCCCCTGAAGCACAGTGTAAACATCTTTCTGTCGTATTAAGCTACTTACTGGAAGATGGAGAGCTACCAAACTGTTAGAAAACGGCCAGTGTGATGCAAGTAAACTAGAAAAGGAAAAAAAAGATCCACTGAACCGAAGACTAGAATTACAAACAAACACACACACACACACACACACACACACACACACACACACACACACACACACACACACACATTGGCTGAATAACACTGACAGCAAATATTAAAATGGTCAACGACTGGATAGTCTTCAGGAATTGGTACTAAGGACCCTTCCAAGTACTATATACGACCTATATAAGATCCATTTTGGAGAAAGCAGCCTCGGTATGGAATCTCTTCCTGAAGACAGACAAAGTAACAGAGATTCGTTGTTTATAGTCAGGAACACCTAGCCTCGCCCCTCCAACACCTGGCCTCGCCCCTCCAACACCTGACCCCGCCCCTCCAACACCTGACCCCGCCCCTCCATCACCTGACCCCGCCCCTCCAACACCTGACCCCGCCCCTCCAACACCTGACCCCGCCCCTCCAACACCTGACCCCGCCCCTCCAACACCTGACCCCGCCCCTCCAACACCTGACCCCGCCCCTCCAACACCTGACCCCGCCCCTCCAACACCTGGCCTCGCCCCTCCAATACGTGGTCCTAGACGCGAGCGACCACAGTATCCTCCAGGAGAGGACGAGCATGAAGAGCTTTCACCAGCACCTCCCCGAAGGAGGCGTGCCTGTTGACCTTCTCACAGCCCCTTACTAAAGAAGGCGAGAAACCTTTTCCCCAACTTGTAGCTCATCTACATCGGCGAGCGACTTCGAGAAATCTAAATAGCGTGACATCTATTCAAGACGTGTGGGTGCTCTGCCATGCTAACTGCCCATGTGGGAGCAATTCTCACCTGACGGTGGGGCCGGAATGCACAATGTGTGTAGTTTGTAAGCCTTTGAAGCCTTCACGAGTCTCACCTCAAGGAAGAGTTGCTGTGAAGGCGTTGTGTGGTTAATTGTTGGTGGAGTCAGGATGGTTGGGGTGACTGATGTGGTTGGTAATTGGTGTTGTCAATATGGGTAGTTTGGTGGGTGGTTGGATTGGTAGTTCGAATGGTGTGAGAGTTTTTAGCGAATTGTCACGAATGAATTCCCTTGATGCCTGACAGCCTGTATGGGTGCCTGACAGCTGAGTGGACAGTGCTTCGGGTTCGTAGTCCTGAGGTTCCAGGTTCGATCCCCGGTGAAAGCGGAATAGGCAGAGTTTTTTTCACCCTGAGGCACCTATTCACATAGCAGGAAATAGGTACCTGGGAGTTGGACAGCTGCTACGGGTTGCTTCCTGGGGGTGTGTAACAAAAAAGGAGGCCTGGTCGAGGACCGGGCCGCGGGGACGCTAAGCCTCGAAATCATCTCAAGATAACCTCAAGATTGATGTGACGTGATACCGACGCCGCCAGCCCGTGCAGTCTGAGCACAATATTGCCATTAACATAGTGATCGAACCTCGACCACTGTTTTCTCCCTCCACCACACCTCCGACCTGCTAAATGTTCTAGCCTTAGTCACTGTTACTTACCACCTGTCACTACCCACCTACAACCTGTTACCACAATCACCACCACCCATCATTATCACCACCATCACTACCACCACCACCTCTCACCATCAACTGGGCAGCAACAAACAATAAATAACCCCCAAATGTCAGAAATTGTCTACTTCTTGTGAAAGAAAACACTTTAATCTGTCTATATAATACGATTTCAAAGATGATTTTCATACATATTTTTCATACATATTTTGATGGTCGAGTGGATAGGGTGTCCTGTACACACCAGTTGCATTGTGCTCCTAGCAGTATGGGTTCGAGTCACTTCTGGGGTGTGAGTTTTCAGTGTTATTATTTTTTTATTTAGTACATACCCTGGAAACACAAACCGAAACTGTCTCTATTTTCCGCTTGTTACAACTTGTAATAAAGTTGTTACATCTTGGCTTAACGTGTTTATGACGTATTAGAACGTTGTTACAACTTGCTATATTGGTTGTTATAACTGGTTAGGAGGTGTTAAAACTTGTTCGAACGTTGTACCAACGTTGTAGTTTCGGTGTGTGTTTAGCGGGTATTCGCTTCATTGTATTAAATTCTATCTTTATTATTATCTAGTCTACCATTCGCCTCTTCTCTACTTTATCATTTTATCAGCATTTATGTTGTTTAATTCCAGTCTCGAATGTGATGGTTTTGTCCCACTGTGATAAATTTAATTAATTTCAGTTCATCCAATATAATTCAGTTTAACTCGGATTGATTCTCTTTTAATACGAATAACAATCAATAATTCATTATGAGGCTATCAAAGCCTAGTTACTGTAGCGGTGGTGACGCCAGCCGGGGAGGAACTGTCTACACCCGTCACACCACAATCTACCTCGCGTCTGTCTGCTAGCCACAACCACGAATCCGGTGTCTCCCTGCACGCGAACCACGAATCTGGTGTGTCCCTGCACGCGAACCACGAATCTGGTGTGTTCCTGCACGCGAATCACGAATCTGGTGTGTCCCTGCACACGAATCACGAATCTGGTGTCTCCCTGCACGCGAACCACGAATCTGGTGTGTCCCTGCACGCGAACCACGAATCTGGTGTGTTCCTGCACGCGAATCACGAATCTGGTGTGTCCCTGCACGCGAATCACGAATCTGGTGTCTCCCTGCACACGAACCACGAATCTGGTGTGTTCCTGCACGCGAATCACGAATCTGGTGTCTCCCTGCACGCGAACAACGAATCTGGTGTCTCCCTGCACGCGAACCACGAATCTGGTGTCTCCCTGCACACGAACCACGAATCCGGTGTCTCCCTGCACGCGAACCACGAATCCGGTGTCTCCCTGCACGCGAACCACGAATCTGGTGTCTCCCTGCACGCGAACCACGAATCCGGTGTCTCCCTGCAAAAGAACAACGAACTACGGTCTCGCTTCATGCAGGTCGGCGATCAATCCCCGACCATCCAAGAGGTTGGGCACCATTCCTCCCCCCTCCCCCCCCCCCCCGTCCCATCCCAAATCCTTATCCTAACCCCCCCCCCCCCCCCCACTCCCCCTTTCCCAGTGCTATATAGTCGTAATGGCTTGGCGCTTTCCCCCCTGATAATTCCTTCCTTCAGCTCACGAAACACGAAACAAATCGACAAGGGACTCGAGACTAGCTAATACTGACGTAACTGGCCGAACATTTCCCCCATTAGTGACGTATTTGACAGCTGAAACACAAAATTTCAAAATAATTAATGGTCATTAAAGAAAACGAGGGCGCAGTTCAGCACGATCACGACGCTTATAATAGGTCAGTTTGAAGACAAAAATTACCCACTCGAAAGGCATAAAATTAGGAAAACGAGCATAGCCTAAGGGTAGGGTAGGGTAGGGGGGGGGGGTGGAAGGAACCTCCCCCGAGGAAAACGTGCAAAAAGTCGGGAGGAAAAAAAACAGTGCATAACGAAAAATGTATAACCATGAGGAAAAAAAGTGTTAGAACTTGCAAGAAAAAAAGAGTTTGTAACCCAGGGGAAAATGGTGAATGACCTGAAGGGGGAAAAAATTGTATAACTTCAAGGAAACGGAGTAGATACGTTGGGAAACGTGAATAACCTTGACAAAAATGTAATATAACATTGTGCAACAAAACAGAGCATAACCTTTTTTTGTGGGGGAAAATGGAAAAAAAATCAGTGTCAAAATCGTTGCCAGAGAATTAAGACTCTATAGTGAGTATAAAGATCAGAGGTAAAGAGCTCTAATGCTCAAACTTAAATTCCCCGAAACTCTATAGTGAGTATAAAGATCAGAGGTAAAGAGCCCTAATGCTCAAACTTAAATTCCCCGAAACTTTTCCCACATAGAATTAAGCTGGGAAACTTGGACCTCCCCTTCTTATATGACTCCTCTTAAGTTTGATATTAAGATTAACTCGGGAAAGCTGTGTAACATGATGCAACTATATATATATCTATGCCAATAAGAGCGAACATCTGTCTGTTCACAGTAGGTAGCCAGACGCTTGCGGGTAGCCTCACTAAATGCTTTACACACTACTCACAACTGATGGCGTATGTGTTTTTCTCCAGCAGTGCTTCGTTCACGTCCTGTGTTCGAGTCGCACATCTCTAACTGCTTCACCCACGTACTGCAAATACCCATAATTGCCTACAGAACTTAACCATCTAACCTAACCTAAGTTAGACCTAACTATTCAGCACATAATGATATTACCTTACATTTGAGGAAAAAAAATTAATACGTCGTAGGTAAATATTGATGAATGCGTCTTACGATTGAGCCATATCCTGGAAGAACCTACCCTATATCCTATCGCTGGTTAGGATATCCTAACCGCGATATGAACGATAGAGGCAGCGATAATTTATTTAATAACGTTTAAGTAATATGAGGATTTGGCCAAGATCAGAAATAATTAAAAAGCTTTTTTTTTAATGCTGTGCTAATTAAAGGTTTAATTAAGATTAAAATGCTGAAGTTAGCCGCATGATTAATAAATGATCAAAAGTCATTTTTTACCTATAATGCAGAAACATTTATTTTGATTGGCATTTATTTCTAATTTCATTCACCTTTTCCGCTGATGGAAATAATTTTTCAATTCTGATTCAGTTCCTGAACAACAGTTAGTGAGTCTGTATCTTTTCCACCTTTAGCTACTGGATGGGTACGGTGCCCTTTCAATCCTTCCACCATTTTCCATTGAATGGGTGAAGTGACGAAGACAGTATACCCAGTGAATGGATGACCCATACCCACCACACCATCCCATCACCGACTACTGGATGGGTATTTGGTGTGTAGACAAGTACTAACTAATCTACCACTCTCCCATACACAACAAACAATAAATAGTGGTCTCTATCCCCGCCTGTGAAATATGTATGACCACCTTACTCATCCTGGAGATTTTTTCCCTAATGCTCAAACTTAAATTCCCCGAAACTTTTCCCACATAGAATTAAGCTGGGAAACTTGGACCTCCCCTTCTTATATGACTCCTCTTAAGTTTGATATTAAGATTCACAGTCAGTTCCTGAAGCCGTCTCAATAATTTCCCACACCCTCAAATTTCACTCATTCCTGGATATTTCGCGCCAGCGGATAGTTAGACTATGTGGAATGAGCACGTGGGTCAGTGATGGATTATGGATGGGATATGAGAGTGTGATTAGGCTGGCGCCTAGCCTCCAATCTCGATCAGACAGACAAACATTCTAATCTGTATCTGTATGAGAGAATGTCTGTATTCATCTAGTTGTGCTTGCGGGGGTTGAGCTCTGCTCTTTCGGCCCGCCTCTCAACTGTCAATCAACCAGCTTTTTTTTCACACAAACACACACACACACACACGCGCGCGTTAGGGAAGAGTTAGGGGGGACATGATCACCACATTCAAGATTCTCAAGGGAATCGACAGGGTAGATAAAGACAGGCTATTTAACACAAGGGGCACACGCACTAGGGGACACAGGTGGAAACTGAGTACCCAAATGAGCTAAAGAGATATTAGAAAGAACTTTTTTAGTGTCAGAGTGGTTGACAAATCGAATGCATTAGGAAGTGATATGGTGGAGGCTGAGTCCATACACAGTTTCAAGTTGTCGGAAAATCCGACACCATTTAATAATATCATACAGACAGATAATATTGCTGCTGTATTGTATAAACAAGTTACCCAT